TGTTTCCACCAGAGGTTTTTTTTAATTAACTAAATGGCTTAGCAGGTCATTTCAATGGGGAGTTAAGTGTCAACCACATTGCTGTGCTTCTAGAGTAACATGTTGAGTAGACCAGCTAAAGACAGAAGATTTCCTATCCCAAAGGACATTAATGAACTGGATGGATTTTATCACAATCTGGTTGTTGCATGATCTTTATTAATGAGATGAGCATTTCATTCAATGGATTAGTTTTAGAATCGTAGAGTTGTACAGCATGGAAACAGACCCTTCAATCCAATGCATTCATGCCAACCAGATATCCTAAATAAATCAAGTCCCATTTACCAGCATTTTGCCCATATCCCTCTAAACCCTTCCAATTCATATACCCATCCAGATGCCTTTTAAATGTTGTAATTGTACCAGCCTCCACCACTCCCTCTGGCAGCTCATTCCACACACGCACCACCCTCTGCACGAAAAGGTTGCCCCTTATGTCCCTTTTAAATCTTTCCCCCCCACCTTAAGCTTATGCCCTCTAGTTTTTGACCCTTCACTCCAGGGAATTTACCCTATCCATGCCCCCCATGATTTTATAAACTTCGATAAGGTAACCCCTCAGCCTTTGATGCTCCAGGGAAATTAGCCTCAGCCTATTCATAGAACATAGAACATAGAACATTACAGCGCAGTACAGGCCCTTCGGCCCCCGATGTTGCGCCGACCTGTGAAACCAATCTGAAGCCCATCTAACCTAAACTATTCCATTATCATCCATATGTTTATCCAATGACCATTTAAATGCCCTTAAAGTGCAGGCAGGGCATTCCACGCCCTTACTACTCTCTGAGTAAAGAACCTACCTCTGACATCTGTCCTATATCTATCACCCCTCAATTTAAAGCTATGTCCCCTCGTGCTAGCCATCACCATCCGAGGGAAAAGGCTCCCACTGTCCACCTTATCTAATCCTCTGATCATCTTGTATGTCTCTATCAAGTCACCTCTTAACCTTCTTCTCTCTAATGAAAACAGCCTCAAAACCCTCAGCCTTTCCTCATAAGACCTTCCCTCCATACCAGGCAACATCCTGGTAAATCTCCTCTGCACCCTTTCCAATGCTTCCACATCCTTCCTATAATGCGGTGACCAGAACTGTACACAATACTCCAAGTGCGGCCGCACCAGAGTTTTGTACAGCTGCAACATGACCTCATGGCTCCGAAACTCAATCCCTCTACCAATAAAACCTAACATACTGTACGCCTTCTTAACAACGCTATCAACCTGGGTGGCAACTTTCAGTGATCTATGCACATGGACACCGAGATCTTTCTGCTCATCCACACTGCCAAGAATCTTACCATTAGCCCAGTACTCTGTATTCTTGTTACTCCTTCCAAAGTGAATCACCTCACTCTTTTCCGCATTAAACTCCATTTGCCACCTCTCAGCCCAGCTCTGCAGCTTATCTATGTCCCTCTGTAACCTGCAACATCCTTCCGCACTATCCACAACTCCACCGACTTTGGTGTCATCCGCAAATTTACTAACCCATCCTTCTACGCCCTCATCCAGGTCATTTATAAAAATGACAAACAGCAGTGGCCCCAAAACAGATCCTTGAGGTACATTCAGCCTCTCCCTTTAGCTTAAACCCTCCAACCTTAGCAACATCCTTGTAAATCTTTTCTGAACCCTTTAAAGTTTCACAACATACTTCCTATAGCCGGGTGACCAGAATTGCACACAGTGGCCTAACCAATGTCCTGTACAGCCGCAACATGACCCTCCCAACTCCTAAACTCAATGCACTGACCAATAAAGGCACACATACCAAACACCTTCTTCACTGTCCTGTCTACCTGCAACTCCACTTTCAACCTGCACTCCAAGGCCTCTTTGTTCAGCAACACTACCCAGGACCCTACCATTAAGTGTATAAGCCCTGCTCTGATTTGCCTTTCCAAAACGCAGCACGTCACATTTATCTAGATTAAACTCCATCTGGCTTTTCTCAGCCCATTGAACCATTTGATCCAGTTCCCATTGTACTCTGACGTAACCTTCTTCGCTGTTCACTACACCTCCAATTTTGGTGTTGTCTGCAAACTTGCTAACCATACCCCATATGTCCACTTCCAAATCATTTATATAAATGATGAAAAACTGTAGACCCAGCACCGATCCTTGTGGCACACCACTGGTCACAGGCCTCCAGTCTGAAAACCAACCTTCCAGCATCACCCTCTGTCTTCTATCTTCGAGCCATTCCTGTATCCAAATGGCTAGTTCTCCCTGTATTTCGTGTGATCTAACCTTGCTAACCAGTCTCCCATTAGGAACTTTGTCGTAGACCTTACTGAAGTCCATATAGATCACATGCACTGCTGTGGCCTCATCAGTCCTCTTTGTTACTTCTTCAAAATTTCAACCAAGTTAGTGAGACATGACTTCCCACGCACAAAGCCATGTTGACTATTCCTAATCAGTCCTTGCCTTTCCAAATACATGTAAATCCTGTCCCTTAGGATTCCCTCCAACAACGTTTTCAAAATTAATATCCCCCTGCTGCCTTCATGGGATTTTAACTCCTGTCTCCAGAACATTAACTGACTTCTTGGGATGAGTCCAATAACTTTATCACTATGCAGTCCCATAAAATGAATGAATTTAATGCTACTTTGACTAAAAAAGGGAGAGCTGCATCAAATAAATGCATTAATAAGAGTTGGCAATGATGGAAATAACAGAATTTAGTATTGGATAGAATGTTAACCAAATAAAGTTAATAAATTGAAAGAACCATTTCATGCCAGCAATACTAATTAAGTATAAATATGAGTTTTAGTTCATCAAATTAAATTTTGAGGCTTCCTTTAGAAGCTTAGTTTATTAAACCTCAAGTCAGTTTTGATGGAGGATTGAGGCTGATAGAACCTGATGTGGTCTTGTCAGATCTCCTAATGGTCAGCTCAGATCAGTCCAAAAGTGTGCAGGCTAGGTGGGTTCACTGTTGGAAATGCAGGGTTAAAGGGATAGGGTGGGAGGCTGTTCAATTGGTCAGTGGTGACTTGATGGGCCGAATGACCTTTTCCCACACAGTAGAGATTGTATGAAATGCTGAAGTTTGTAATCCTCGGGCAGAAGTGAACGTGTATAGATGGGTGCTGTGCCAGGGAGTGACTGGAATTCAAGAGAGTAAAATGTAGATGGGATTAGAGAGTTCATTGGAAATGACAATGTCATAGGTGTGACCATAAATTAAGGTGGAAATAATTATTTGGGAGGACTGAAATGTACTGAAACAAACACAGAGAATGCTGGAGAAACTCAGCAGGTCTGGCAGCATCCATGAAATGAGAAATAGAGCTAACGTTTTGAGTCTGCTATGACTGTTCTTTGATTTGTCTCTCCACAGATGTTGCCAGATGTGCTGCATTTTTGCAGCATTCTGTATGTTTGCTTCAGATTTCCAGCATCCACAGCATTTTTTCTTTATTGAAGTGTAATGAATTTAGAGGAGGAAGGACAAGATAATATGTGAAGGAAATTGAAATCACAAGGGATAAGAACTCAGACAAGACAGAGGTCAAGGAAAACAGGAAGGGCATCTTGGGAAGAAACTCAAGCTGGGAATTGGAGGACAGCAGAAAATAAGAATATTAAATGAGAGGTTGAACAGGGTGAGGTGCTGGAAGGAGGTGCTAGAGGAGAACGGTAAGAAATCAAAGTGCGACCAAGATGTGAAGCCCATACCACCACCACAGATGGAATCTCATCCTGCTGTCTGGAGGAGGAAGCAAGGAGATTTGTATTGGGCAAAGGGCCAAAAAACAATCCCAATGGCAGGATGAAACTTTGCAGTGAGGTTTTCTGACCTGTCGAGGTGCACTGAGCTTTCCAATGGGAAGCATCAGTGTCATACATGCTCATCAATACGCCAGTTCATCAGAATTTGGTTCCACTTTGTAATTAAGTTCTCTATGAGAAACACATGATTTCAGATTAATTATTGCATGTAAGTGGCATCACCAGGGGAAGTAGCCATATTCCTAAACTTTGGAATGAGTAGCCACTGCTTTGTCCTTTTCGGGGAGCATTCATCCATTGAGATGGCAGTGGTCTAAGTTACATGGAAGATGACCAGAGAGATGACTACAGTTCAATGGACAGAAGGCAAGGAGTCTGGCCAAGAGCAGAAGTCTGGCTGGCTAAAGGTGGAAAGGCCAGAATCTTTAGCTGTAAGTGTTCACACTGACAGTTCAGGTGAATCTTCAGACTTAAGGGGAATTATTGCCTGTCTGGCTATCCTGTAAATATTACAGGACGCTTGCCCTGACCTCCTGCCCAACCCTGCTACAAAATTCACTGTTTTCTTGTGTATGCATTTGCAAAGTGCTGGCAGCTGTGTAATCACGCAAGAAATGCCAACCTATAATGCCCAAGTACCACTTGACCACTTCCACACTTGCTGCCAAACTTCAACTCCACAACAGCAGTTTCTGCATCTCTAAAGCCATTTCATGATTTGCAATACAGAGGAACGAAACGAGAATCTGCCAACCTAGGAGACATAAATAATCTACACATAGAGAGATGCGTAACTTAAATAATTTTGGAATCCAAAGTGGATTCACAGAGCCGTTAAACTATTGGTGGAATTATTTTGTTCTTTTAAATTTCCTGTTGCACATACAGTTACATCTTCTGATGCCCTTTATAATGTTCACAATGCAATACAAAACCACATCAGTAATGTATTTAAAACAATCAGATCAAAACTGAATTGGCTATAATATGAGAAGTCACATAATCTCCATAGCATTAAAGGTACATTAATTATGGCTGTTGTGGTCACATTTTTTAAATTCTGTAGTAGCTCATCAACATTAACTACTTGAAAGACTTGTGAAAGGCAATCTTAATGAACAAAATTGCTGGTAATTTGATAGAATTACTGTTACTTTAGTTTCTGTCATAACTTACAGATGTTGTAAATTAATTTTGTTTTACAGAACATCCAGATTAGTCCATTTCCAAGTGCTTTTGATCCAGCCCAAACAATAAATGCCGCTCAAAACACTGAAGAAGGTGCCGTTTATATTTTATGAAAAGAAAGCAGATGTTGGCTTATCAAGTGCAGACTATTTTGAACATTTACATTCTTTCACTGATACCACACACTGAGTGCTTACAAGTACAAAGATAATAATGTTTCACAGATATTGTGTCTGGTATTGTCTGCACATTGGTTTATCTGGCCAATCAAAAACTAGCTTTATTTAGTGGAAGGGAACTGACTGTCCCTCTTTCTGTCCAGTAAATAAATCTAAAATACTAATATTTTTTAATTTAATGCACCATTACTTTAATGTGGGTTTTGAAGTTTTGCCTTCATTCCTTTGTGATTTATGTGCTTGTTTTAGTTATTTCGACAGTGCTTGGATTTATACCCAGTAGATCAAATATGATTAATCTATTAACTTTTTGGGGTGTTCACTGACATTATGGATAAAGATACAGCTGCAGATTTTGTCTCTATACTTCATATGAGATTTGATGAAGTTATCCACAAATGTTATCAGCAAAATTAAGGGTGAATGGAATTGAACTTGTGGCTTGATAAGGCTTGATAATTGGTTGTGATGTAGAAGGCAGAGAATAGGACTGAATAAAACATTAAATAAAATCAAAAAATGCACAGTAAGTTGGCCAGCATCTGTAAACAGAGAAATCATGTTAACATTAGAAAGTCTTTTAATGGAAAAAAACTATATATGTAACGGATTTTAAGCCGGTGCATACATAGGGTAAATTGACTGGGGTCTAGAGACTAAGAAAGAGCAAAAACGGGGAGATATTTGACACGGTTGCTGAGGAGAGAGATCATTCCAACTGGGACTAACAACTTAAAATGACAGGCTTAAGGTCATGCTTGTGGAATGAATGGAGTTGTTCCACAAAGTGATCACCGAATCTGTGCTTAGTCTCAACATTATAAACATTCTGAACAGCAAATGCAGTATACCAAAATGAAAGAAATACAAGTAAATCACTTTTAACTTGAAAATGTCAGGAAGGAGGTTAAAGAAAGAGTGTTGCACTGCCTGTGCTTCCAGAATGAAATGCAATGGGATGTAGAATTGGCATTGAGGGTGATTGAGGAGTGACATGGGTATTAGGGCAAGAATGACCCCTTCTGATTGTGAAAGAATAGTGGATGATGAATTTTGTGGTACTTTCTGGAGGTGGCAGAAATGGAGATTGAAAGTGAAGGCAGCTGGGGTGTAATGCAAGGATGAAGGAAACCCCACTGCGATTCTGAGAGTGAAAGCTGAGGGATGAGAGCAGAAATGTGGGGCATGGAACAGACAGGACCCTCAAACCTGTCATCCACAATGAAGAAGAATTCTCAGCTGAGGAAATAGAAAGCCACTTTGAAATCCAAATGGAAGGTAACATTCTCATGTGACATGTAATGAAGAAACTGGGAAAATAATTTCCTTGCAGCAAACGGGGTGTGAGGCAGTTACCCGCATGGGCCCAATTATGCCTGCCTCTTTGTAGGTGACATGGAACAATCCCTCTTCCGTAGCTACACTGGCCCTAAACCCCACCTCTTCCTCCGTTATATCGATGAATGTATCAGCGCCGCCTCGTGCTCCCACGAAGAGCTCAAACAGTTCATGCACTTCACCAACACCTTCCACTCCAACCTTAAGTTCACCTGGACCATCTCTGATACCTCTCTCTCTTTCCTGGACCTTTCCGTTTCCATCTTTGGCAAACACCTGGAAACTGATATCCATTTCAAGCCCACCGACTCCCACAGCTACCTAGAATACACCTCCTCCCACCCACCTTCCTGCAAAAATGCCAACCCCTATTCCCAGTTTCTTCGCCTCGGCTGCATCTGCTCCCATGATGAGGCATTCCACTCCCGAACATCTCAGATGTCCTCGTTTTTCAAGGACCGCAACTTCCCCTCCTCAGTGGTCGAGAACGCCCTCGACCGCGTCTCCCACATTTCCCGCAACTCATCCCTCACACTCCATCCCCGCAATAACAACAAAAACAGAATCCTCCTCGTCCTTATGTACCACCCCACCAACCTGTGGATCCAACACATCATCCTCCAACTCTTCTGCCATCTGCAATCCGACCCCACCACCAAAGACATTTTTCACTCCCCATCCTTATCTGCTTTCCGGAGGAACCACTCCCTCCATGACTCCCTTGTCCGCTCCACACTCTCCTCCAGCCCCACCACACCCGGCACTTTTCCCTGCAACCGCAGGAAGTGCTACAACTGCCCCTACACTGCCCCCCCATTCCAGACCCCAAGAAGACCTTCCACATCAAGCAGATGTTCGCCTGCACTTCTGCTAATGTGGTATACTGTATCCACTGTTCCCGTTGTGGCCTCCTCTACATCAGGGAAACCAAGCGGAGGCTTGGGGACCGCTTTGCGGAACACCTACGCTCGGTTTGCACTAAACAACTGCACCTCCCAGTCGTGAACCATTTCAACTCCCCCTCCTATTCCTCAGATGACATGTCCATTCTGGGCCTCCTGCACTGCTACAACGATGCCACCCGAAGGTTGCAGGAACAGCACCTCATATTTCGCTTGAGAACCCTGCAGCCCAATGGTATCAATGTGGACTTCACAAGCTTCAAAATCTGCCCTCCCCCAACAGCATCTCAAAACCAGCCCAGCTTGTCCCCGCCTCCCTAACCTGTCCTTCCTCCCACCTATCCCCTCCTCCCACCTCAAGTCCCAACCCCATCTCCTATCTTCTAGCCTCATCCCGCCCTGTCCATCCTCCCTGGACTGACCTATCCCCTCCCTAACTCCCCACCTACACTCACCTTTACAGGCTCCATCCCCGCCCCTTTGATCTGTCTGTCTCCTTTCCACCTATCTTCTCCTTTATCCATCTTGTATCCGCCTCACCCTCTCTCCCTATTTATTTCAGAACCCCCTTCCCCTCCCCCATTTCTGAAGAAGGGTCTAGGCCTGAAACGTCAGCTTTCCTGCTCCTCTGATGCTGCTTGGCCTGCTGTATTCATCCAGCTCTACACCTTGTTATCTCAGATTCTCCAGCATCTGCAGTTCCTACTATCTCTGTGCGGAAGTATAGTCAGGTAGTTACTGATATCAATGAGATTATTGAAGACACTGATTGCTAGAAGTGGAGAGAAAGGAGTCAGTGAAAGTAAAAGTCAAAACAGAGAAAAGAAGACCGGGGAAAGGTGGGAAATCAGAAGGAAACTTGCAGAAATTCTCCTGTTTGTGGCAAAAGCTTGAAATGGCACCAATTTAATAACTATTGAACCAGAGAAAGAGGTGAGGAAAAGAATCTGAGTAGAATTAGAACAAAGATTGTTCCACATATCTCTCAAAAATGAAATATTCTCTGATTTGGTGGTTATGATGAGTGCTCAGATTTTCATGAAATATTATTGACTTGGTAGAAGGGATTAAGTCTGCAGATCACAGAATTTTAGCAGGTATAGTAAGTTGTGTGAATTAGAGTAGGAAACTACAAAGGGACATCAGTCAGATGAAGTCAGTGGGCAAAATCGTAACAGATAGAGTTCAACATAGCAAAGGTTGGGGTCAACTTCTTTCAATCTGCGAAAGACTAATTGCAATATTTTGCTAATAGTGAGAGATTAGGAACTGTAAACGAACAAAAGGGTTTAGGTGCTGTTGTGTCCCTATCCCTAATAGCTGGCACACTGTGATGAACAATAATCAAAGCAGCTACAGATATGATTGAATTTATCACAAGTGCATTGCAATACAGAAATAAACAAGAAATAGTAAAGTTGTTCAAATCCTTGGTCAGACACATTTGGGGTCTGCACACAGATTCACTGAACAATACTTTGGTTTAAAGGAATAAATTATGAAGTCAGATTACACAGGTGACAGGTTGTCACTGGACTAGTAACCCACAGCTAATGCTCTAAGAACATGGGATCGAATCCAGCCATGGCCTTATTGAATTCAATAAAAATCTGGAATTATAATGTTAGCTGAAAGGTGACCATGTAACCATTGTTGATTATTATTAACATCTAGTTCACTAAAGTCCTTATGGAAGGAAATTTGCCATTCTTACCTGGTCTGGCCCAAATATGACTCCAGGCCTAGAGCAAAGAGGCTGACTCTTAATTTCACATTACTAGGTCAAATGTAGGGAAGGAATCCTGCTACTGATTAGCAGATCCCCTCACCTCCTTCAGTCCCCTCGGCTAATGAATCAGTACCCCTACATGTTGAAAAGCACTGAGGGTGGCAATGGTACAGAATCTGCCCTGGGTGGGGGACTTCATTGTCAATCACAAAGTGGTTCAATAGTGTCACTACTGCACTATTGACTGAGCTGGCTGAGTCTGAAAGGACAGGGTGCCAGACTGGATCTGTGACAGCTAGTGAGCAAACCAACAAGAAAGAAAGATCAGTTTGACCTCATTCTCACCAATCTACCTGTCACAAATGTGTTTACCCACATCAGTATCAGTCGGAGGGACCATTGCTGATTGTGGAGATGAAATCCCATCTTCAAACCAAAGATACTGTTCATCATGGTGTGTAAAACTATCACCACATTAAGTGGGACAGACTTTGAACAGATCCAGCAGCTAGAAACTAGACATTCATGAACCACTGTGAGCCATCAGCAGCAGCAGAATTGTATTCTGCCACAGCCTGTAACCTCACGGCATGTCATGTCTTCTACCATGACCATCAAACTAGGATATCAACTCAGGTTCAATGAAGAGCACAAGACAACCTGTTTGGGACAGCACCAAGCATCCCTAAAAAATGAGGTATCAGCTTGGTGAAGCTACAACACGGGGCTTCTTGCAAGTCAAATCAGAATGCAGTAGACCTGACTGAATGATCCTACAACCAACAGATCTGATCCATGAAGTCCTGCCACATTCACATGTGAATGGTGATGACAATTGAACAAGAGGAGTGGAGGCTATCCTTGGTCTCAGTGATGGGGAGCCCAGCATATCAGTGCAAAACATGAGACTGAAGCAATTGCATTCGTCTTCAGATAGATGTACCAAGTAGATGATACAACTGTTACGTCATCTGGGGTTGGGGGGGCGGGGTGCGGTGTGTGAGGAGGAGGACGTTGTTGAGGGGTGGGTGGGAATAGTGGTGCAGTGGTAATGTCGCTGGACTAGTAATCCAGAGGTGCAGGAAAATGCTCTTTTGATGTTGGTTCAAATCTGACCATAGCAGCTGCTTTAAATACAATGGATAAACCTAGAATGTGAGTATTGCCTCTGTGATGGTGACCACAACAGTACCATAAAATGTCACAAAAACTCATCTGATCTACTCGTCTCCTTTAGGGCTGGAGATCTGCTCTCCTTAACTCCAGACCTACAGCAATGTAGTTGATCTCCACTGCCCTCTGGGCAATTAGGGATTAACAACAAATGCTGACCTAGCCAGCAGCACCCACACCCCATGAATGAATAAAGGGGAAAAAAAACTGGCCCCTAAAAGGGCTGTTTTGGTGCAGTGGTATTGTCCTTACCTCTGGGCTGTAAATTCTGCATTCAAATCCCATCTGCCCCAGACATGTGTCATCACAGGTTGACTAAAAATGTTAAGAAGTTATTTCTATATTTTGATTTAGTGTTCTCCCTGTAGTGATTGTAATGCGGTCACCCAGGTGGACCTCCTGGAATATGAACAAAAACAGAAGTTGCTGGAAAAGCTCAGCAAATCTTGCAGCATCTGTGAAGAAAAAAATCAGAGTTAACGTTTCCGGTCCGGTGTCCCTTCCTCAGAAAAACAACTTCTGTTTTTGTTCCTGATTTACAGCATCTGCAGTTCTCATAGAATATGAGTTCCCTGGTCCAATCTGAGAGCCCTGGCTGACAGATATAAACAAGAGTGTTAGAGGTTCTGAGATAACATGGTGTAGAGCTGGATGAACACAGCAGGCCAAGC